AGAAGCCCCTGGAGAGCAAAACACAGAAATTAATGTAAACATCGAGATGAACCGAAAGCCCCAATTCGAGAAATTGTTGAGTAACATCGAGTATTTGAGGGAGGCATTGGGAAAAACGAAAGATCTCGAAGAGAAGCTGAATGAGCCGATACAGAGTATTCAAAGCAATCTCGTGGAAGTCATAAAAAATATTCGAGAAACTCAGAACATGGAAGGGGCTTTTGTCGACGCGATAATCAAGGATATCAAGACGTTGAAGTTTCAGATTCCTTCGTACCATAAATTGGCCTTGTCCGAAACCAGCGCCAATTTGATTAACAGGGGAAGTCGTACGCCGAAGCAGAGTGAGTTCAAGTTGCCAAACTTGTATGGCCATCAAGTGTTCGACGGAAGTCCCGCTTTCAAAGAGATTCAACAAGTGTTCGATGGCCTTGATAAAGACACCTATAGGAAGTGCTTTTTATATTTCGCTGTGTTTCCTGAAAATGTAGTGTTGAAGAAGCGCTTTCTCACACATTGGTGGATTGGAGAAGGCCTGCTCGATCCTTCAGGCACCGGAGACGCAACGCCCGAAGATGTCGCCGGAATCATTCTTAAGGAATTTTCAGACAAGGGTTTGATCGTGCCGGTGAAGGAAGAACAGAAGATGATCAAAAAGAGATTCAGAGTGCCCCCTCTTGTGCGTTCGGCTGCTATTACGCTTGCCAGAAAAACACAGTTTTTGGATTATGATTCAGGGGACAACCCAACTGGTAAATCTTCAGACTGTGACAGGATTTTCTTGGTGAAGGGGGACAACTATCACGGGCGGCAAGTGCCAACGAAGACGAATATGAAGTTGGAACAAACCATGAAATCCATCTTCAATGTGAGCCAACCTTTCCCTGATGCTGCATTGGAGTGGTTGGCCAAGAAAGGGGAAGTAGACATGACAACTATAAAAGTTGTGGAGTGGTTTCTAAAGCTGAGAAAACTCGAAGTTCTTTACTTGGGAAGGTGGCAAAGTGTGGTTGATGAGCATCAGATTGAGGTTGAAAGCATGGAGTTCCTAAAAGGTTTGAAGAAAATGAAGCAACTGAGGCTTTTGAGTCTTCAAGGGATCTTCTGGATCAATGAGCTTCCAAATTCCATAAAAAGCCTCAAAAACCTCAGGGTTCTAGACTTGAAATCTTGTCACAATCTGGAGAAACTGCCTGAGGGAATGGGATCTCTCAGGAAGCTCACACATTTGGATGTCTCGGGCTGCTATATGCTCGACCGAATGCCGAAGAGCATATCGGCGCTCACTGAACTGAGAGTTCTGAAGGGGTTTGTAACAGGAATGTCAAATCTTAATGATCTAAAAGGCTTAATGAAGCTGAGGAAGCTGAGCATCAACACAAGTAGACAGGATTTTCCTAACGAAACAGATCTACGCGTTCTACAAGATCTAGGGGAGCACGGCGTGCTTAGAAATCTCACGATCGTGTGGGGGGCAGAAGGATTGAAGCCAAAGCAACCACCGCCGGGTGTAGGAAAAGTAAACATTATGCGACAACTTACAAGGCAATTAAGCAAACTAAGCACACCACCTTCTGATGTGATCTTAAGACTGCCAAAGGAGCTACAGAAGCTGGAGATTGAATGCCTACCTAAAGAAGAGTTACCCGACTGGATAAATCCTCTCAACTTGCCAAGCCTAAAGAAACTCTACATTAGAGGAGGGAAACTAAAAGATCTCGGGACCGAACCGTGGTCGGCCGAGGTTGTACGTCTCAAATACATGACGGAGTTGAAGATAGAATGGAGAAATCTTCAGAAATCTTTTCCAAATTTGAAGTACTTGCAGAGAGTAAAATGTCCAAGAGTTACTTTCTGCCCCTGTGATGTTAATGGAGTGTGGATGAAGCACCAACCACAGTAGAGATAGAAACAATAATGGTGGCATTGAGAAGCAACAACCAGCTGCTCTTCATCTTTTCTCTTTGAAGCTATTTTCATCTTGGCATTGTTTCCTATAAGTTTGATCTTGTTGCCTATGGATATATGATAACTTTTTTGCCAATTTGAGAAAATTTCTGCTCTATTTGAATGTTTTTTTGTTGAATTCTTCCTCATGAGTTGGGTTTTGGGCCTTTTTTTTTTTTGACGGGTTCATTTTGGGTTGGATTTAGATGTTTTTTTTTTTTGCTGTATTTTGTTAATGGATTTTGAGTGAATTTATTAGTTGGTATTTAACAAATTTCTATATCAAGTCTACCAGTTATTTAAATGCAAGATTTAAATAATATAGTACTCTACCAGCAAAGCAACAGTTGACTTGTTTTTTTTTTTATTAAATTGTGGTACTAATTTGTTATACCTTCTGCTTCAATTTTCTCTCCTATTTCTTTATTAACTTTAAAAAAGAAAAAAAAATTTAGAATACATTTATATCCAAACATGTTGTCATTAAATTTTTATTTTTAAAAATGGAAAATTCTTACCTAAAGTAAAACCATCTCTTAAAAAAATCTCAAGAACCACATAATTAACGAAAAATAGTTATATATCTCTCTTGATTTTGTAAATAGGGAAAATTCAACTTTTGGTTCCTAATTATTTTTCTTGTTGAATTTCATTGTATTTAATTTTTCCTCTCTTTCAAGTTTCAAATAAGTTTGTGAACTTCAAAAATTGTATCTATATAATATATTAGAAAATTTCTAATATGTCCTTAAAATGTTAAAGTTGTGCCTAATATATATCATCAGTTCATTGAATTCTAAAAAGATATTTAATATATAACTTTCATTTTTGTATCACCAATATCTTGTTCTATAAGACATTTTTGAAAATCTATTATTAGTTCATCTTTTACTTTACTTTTCTTTTTTTTTTAATAAAATTGAAAATTTAGAAACTTATTACACATTTTTTAGAAACTTATTAAACATAACTTTGAAAGTTAAAAAATGTATTAAAAAATCAAACATATAATTTAACTAATAAATAAAAAAATTCTCAAACATAAATTCTGACTTTTTATTTCTAGATTATATTGGAGCCTAACCTGTCTAATTAACCAAACATCACCATAAATTATTTTATTAAAAATTGCAATTTGCAATTATGTTATTAACCCAGATTTTAAACAAGTTAGTTGGCAGTCCTTTCATTTGACAAAAATTGAGGACTTGAGTGTTATATTTTTCTCTATATTATATTAATTAATAAACTGATCCTCTGCATGCCCTACAATAATTGTGCACTCTAGTAATAGGGGTACTTGGGGAATTTACGTTGTATTAATATTTTGGTTTTTGACTTCGAATAAATGAGATAAAATAAATATATTTTTATATAAGTAGAAAATCTAGCATCTTACAAAACTAGCATAATCTAAATCAAAAGTTAAATGTAATGTAAAATTTATTAAATTAACCAAATTTATAATATATTTGAGAACAAATAAAAAATCTTAAAATTTTTAAAAATACATCATGAATATAAGATATGAATATACTAAAAATGTCATACATGAATACGCCTTCGCTTCCAAGCTCAAGATGAATCTTAACAAAAATATAGCATCGGTGTGATGCTCTATTGAATAAAATTTGATGCATAATTTAGAACTTATATGAATGCAAACGAATAGGTAGCACTAAGATATTTCTTTTATATGGAAGGGAGGGAAGAAATAGGATGACAGTCTAGTCTCGCGTATATGAATGTTGACTTTTTTTTTAATTTGATCTCAAATTAATTATTTTTAATTAATTAATATTTTAATGATAATAAGTTAATTTTATTTAGTGATATTTCTAGTGTTTTAAATTTTCACGCAGCTCAATATAATCATTCCAACACTTTTAAATCACCAGATCTCAATTCAAATGAAATATACCTGTAGAAAATGAGGACCCCACCACATGGCGCAACATAAATTTCAAAAGAAAATATTTGAAAAAGAAAAGAAAAGAAAAGAAAAGAAAAAGAAGGCCGCTAGTGATATTTTGAAAAATCAAAAGCAGAACTTGAGGCTACCATTTCACGCGCTCAGCAACGCATACACCCCACGCGCCTAACGTGTTTTTTTCGTACCGCGGGTAAYATCCTTCCGACACTCGCCTGAGTGGGCTTCATATTCTAACGGTCGCAAACGTTTCTTTAGCAAATTTTTTTGCGTCATCAACCAGATACGGTTTCCCTCGGAGGTATCAGGCGGAGAGCGTAGAGGAGGCGGCGGCGTTGCCCAGTGTTTGGCCGGCCGGAAAATTTTTGTCCACTCCGAGAGAAAGCTGGATTCTCTTCACTTCACCACAGCGATTCTGGTATCTGTGTCGTCGTCTTCAGTGGAATTTGTCGAATCCTCGGGAGAAATAATTCTGATTTCACTTCTGCGTTTTGGAGAGAAATCGACTCCGACGATTCTCATTTCCCTTAGAGTAGATTCTCGGAAGAAAAAATGGGAAATCCGATTCCCCCAAGCGTGAGGAGAATCTGGGAAAGATGGAACATCAGAGCTCTAATCCTGTTCAGCCTCTCATTACAGGCCTTCCTCATCCTCTTCGCCCCGGCCCGGAAGCGATCTTCGAGAAACCTCCTCATCTTCTTCATCTGGTCCGCCTATCTCCTCGCCGATTGGACGGCGAGCTTCGTCGTCGGCCTCATCTCCAACAACCAGAGCAAATCCGACAACAACGAAGACCTCCTCGCCTTCTGGGCCCCTTTCCTCCTCCTCCACCTCGGCGGCCCCGACACCATCACCGCCTTCGCTCTTGAAGACAACGCTCTCTGGCTCAGGCACCTCATCGGGCTCGTCTTTCAGGTCGTCGCCACTGCCTACGTCTTCGTCCAGACCATCCCCGAGAACAGGCTCGGGATCCCCGGAATCCTGATGTTTCTCGCCGGAATCATCAAGTACGCGGAGCGGACTCGGGCGCTGTATCTGGCGAGTTTGGGGAGTTTCAGAGCCTCGATGCTTAAGGAGCCAGACCCAGGTCCTAATTATGCGAAATTGATGGAGGAGCTGAGTTCCAAGGAAGCGGCTCACCTCCCCGCTCGCATTTCTCTCACGGCCGAGCCTGATAAAGAATCGAGGGCTTTCATGAACGCAGCAAAAGAGGGCCCTCTGAACGAGCTTGAGGTCGTTAAATACGCCTTTATGTACTTCAACAATTTCAAGGGGCTGATCGTTGATCTGATTTTCAGCTTCAAAGAGCGGAATGAGAGCCGGGATTTCTTCCTCAAAAGAACCCCATTTGATGCCCTCAAGGTAATTGAAGTTGAACTCAACTTTATCTATGAGGTTCTCTTCACAAAAGTTGTTGTTCTTCATAACAGATATGGGGTATTTTTTAGAGTTGTTTCTCTGAGTTCTGTGACTGTGGCTTTTGCTCTGTTTTCCCGATTGGACAAAGGGGGTTTCAGGAAACTTGATGTTAGGATTACTTATGCTTTGCTTATTGGGGCCTTGGCTTTGGATCTTGTATCTATTTTTATGACTGTCTTCTCTGATTGGACTATGGCTTCTATTAAAAAGGAAGATTCATGTGTTGCCACCATTTTTAAAGTCCTTCTCAGGCTCAAAGGACAGAGGGTGTCTGTGCATAGGAACTCTCCATTTAAAGGCTATAATAAGCTATACACTCCATTGATATTTCGTCGGTGGCGCGAATCAGTGCCTCAGTTCAACTTGATAACATATTGCCTAAGTGAACGCATCCAAAGGAAGAAGGATTTGAGATATGGCTCATTGAGTTGTGGCGGTTTGATACATCTTGCTTGGAATGAAATCGTTCGTCTTTTTCGTCGAGTAAAGGACTTCATCATCGAATATTTAGGTGCCAAAGAATTCCTCGACAATTGGATATATGTCACGAGGCAGCCAGTTCTGGAGAAGCTTTGGACGTTGATCTTTCAAGAGCTGCATGACAAGTCCAAAGCAGCAGAAAGTGCAGAAGCTACTGAAGTAATATGTTCATCCAGAGGCTCCTATGTGCTGAAATCAATGGAGCTTCAGTCGAAAATCGACATCAGCGAGTTAACTTCCTTCATTGATGAGGTTGCTTTTGACGAGAGTCTTATGCTATGGCACATAGCAACAGAACTTTGCTATCAAACCGAAGACAATATGATCGAAGACACTTTTTGTTATCGAAAATTCAGCAAGCTGTTGTCCGATTACATGCTCTACCTCATAGTGATGCTCCCTGCTATGATGTCGGCCGTGGCAGGAATCGGGGAAATAAGGTTCAGGGACACCTGCGCGGAGGCAAAGAAGTTCTTCGACCGAAGAGGGTTAGGAACTAACTCGGATTTAGTCGCAAAAGCTTGTTCAGACATACTCGAGGTGAACATGAAGGTGAAACCCGTGATGGTGAAGGGCGATAAAAGCAAATCCGTTCTGTTCGATGCTTCAAGACTCGCTAAGAAGCTAAAAGAGTTTGGGGATGAGAAATGGGAGATAATGAGCAAAGTATGGATTGAAATGTTGGGATATGCAGCCAGCCATTGCAGACCAGACCAACATGCCCAACAGGTTAGTAAAGGAGGAGAGCTCATCACTTTTGTTTGGTTACTAATGGCACATTTTGGGCTTGGAGAACAGTTTCAAATCAATGAAGGCCATGCCAGAGCAAAATTGATAGTGGATAAGTGAAAATATGTGATCTTTTGTAATGGGTTTTTTCTTTTGCTTTGAATTTTGAAGTGTTCTCAATCTCTTTCATTGAGATGTGTTGTGCAAAACCAGTAGTTGGTTTATAAGTTCGGAGCTTGTATGAGACAAAGTTTTGTAGTTAAAAGTTCAATTCAATTTGCCAAATGTGAATTCAAGAATGCTAAAATTGTAATTGAAAACGAGATAAAAAATAAAAATGAAGAGACATATATCACCCAAACAAACGTTTCAAATAATTAAAATGAACCAAAATTAAAAATAAATATACGAAAATATCATTATTAGTTTGACATTTTCTATGCTCGAGTCACTTTGGTACATAGGTTTTCTTTATGACTTCACTTGTATTGTCGTATTTTCTTTATCTCTATAATTCTATTGGACAGTTATTCGGATTATTCTGACAAATAATTTCCCTTTATATTCGGATTATTTGCTAAATATACTAAATAGTTATCTCAAATACTATTTTGACATATGAAAACTAAAGCATATGTTGGAAATCTTTGATACACACGTGAACAAAATTTCTTTCTTTCGAGTGACATATTTGAGTGGCAAGTCTACAAGCGTAAAATATTAATAAAATAATAATTTTAATCTCACGTCATTTTTCTATTAACATTTTTTTAGTTAAATTTTTTTTTTATAAATATCTGAATATTAAAAAAAAAGGTAAATTTTAAGATTATAAAAGATTAATAATTACCACAAAAGGAAAAAAACAGGGACCATTTGATATATCCAAGTCATGTGGATAAAATATAATTACAAGTAAAAATTTTTGAATAGAAAGTTACTTCTTTCATTCACACTTTTCTTCTATAAACTATTCTTTACTATTAATAGATCCCACATTATTTTTAAAACGATGCTGAATTGACAAAGGAAATAAATATTCATATTTTTGTAGTACAAAAAATTTTCTCGCAAGAACAACTTAAGCATATTTCAATTAGTTGAGGTACCTATATTTGACTTAAAAGATCGAGTTAGAATCTTCATTCCTATTTTTTTATAAAAAAAATGAAAAAAGAAAGTCCAGAGTGAAACATGAAAACAAGAGTTAATTTGTCTATTTTTTGAAAGACATGTTTATAACTTAAGCATATCTCAAATAGTTGAGGTATCTATATTCGACCAAAAGATCGTGAGTTGGAATCCTCGTTCCTATTTTTTTTCAAAAAAAAAAAAATCTAAGATATAACAATAATTAATTGGTCTATTTTTTAGAGGACATGTTTATAAGTCTCGGATGTATGTCTTTACTGTCATGTTCCCAACATGTGGCTCCACGCAATGTTGGCATCAAACAAAAGAGGAAAAATCAAAGAATTATTTCAGAATATTAAAAAACTATTATTTTTTACGTCTATTTCCATAATCTATATAGAGAAGAAAAAGAAATTATTATTAGTCCCTTACCCCACTAGCATTTTATAATGGTCAACTTCGCGTTTAAAAATCAATGTGAGTATATCTCATGACATGATCTATTCATTTTCTTAAAGTTAGAGGTTCAAACTTTCGTACTCTTAATTTATTGTATTAAAAAAAGTTTAGGTTACAAAAAATTACAAAAACCACCCGAAATTATAATAATTTGATCACTCTGCTAATTTTATAAAATTCGTGCACTCCTTCAAAACAAACATTCTTCCTATCAAACACTCAAACTAAAACTAAAGGATTGTTAAAATCAAACCTCAAATATTTTTTCTTCCACTTTTTGTTTCTTAAATTGAGATGTAAGCTCAATATTTACCAAAAAAAATAAAATTTTAATGGTTAATATTATAATTTTCAAATTTTACTAAATTAAAAAAAAAATTGAGTTAAGTTGTAACAATCTTGTAATTCTAGAGTTTGATTATAATAATTCTCAATGGTTGGAGATAGTTGATGTATGTTGCAATATTTAAGAATTTAATTGCAATAATTTCATTAATTTAACTGGGGTAATTGATCAAGTTGGAAGTTCAAGGAATATGATTATGACAAGCCATAGGCCATGGTGATTTTTACCATTTTCTCTAATTCGCATAACAAATCATAGATTACACCAACTTAAATTTTTAATTTCTGTTTATGTTAATGCTTTTTGGTAAACTATTGATTTCGTATTTGTAAAATATTAGTGAATTATGTAGTATTAAAGTTGACTTTCATATATTTGAGACTGACATAAATTTCTAGGTATATGTGATGGATAGGATTACCAGATTTATAGCTCAATTAAATAAATCAATTCATATATGTTAACATGAACTTAGCTCAACGTTAAGACACTTTTCTCATTTCTTAGAAGTCAGAGGTTCAATCCCTCGTTCCTGTATATTCGATGTAATTAAAAAATAAAAGTCATCAATTCATTCTTCAATACAAAAATTAATTCACTTATTAACTCTATTTATTCAAATCTAGCTCAAAAAAAGTGTAAATTATTATGTAGAAAAGAAACCATTTGCAATTATGTTATTAACCCACTTGGATGACCGGCAAAAATTTAAGGGCACATGGGATTCAGAGCTTGATTTAGATTTATTACTTATTATTATTATTATTATTTTGGCAAAAGATTGACTTGAATTAAAAAGTCTTATTTCTTTCTCTCTCTTCTTTTTTTTTTCCAATTTTTTTAATGCACTTCATTTATTATATATTATATTCATTAATAAAATATAGTGTTCTGCCCTTCAAATATTATCACTACAGTACGAGCAAAGCAACAGTTTGACTTCTTTACCAAAACGAACATAGATCAACGGTAATTGATATATATCTCCAAAATCAGGAGGTTGTGAGTTCAAATCTCCTAAAAAAACTTCCTTAGACTACATTTATCTAAAAATATTTTTCACTAAATTTTTATTTCTAAAAAAGGAAAATTCTGGCCTAAAACTAAACAGGGCCTTAAGAAAATCTCAAGAAATACCCCATTAACGAAGAATAGAATTATACATTTCTTTTAGTTTTGTATAACTCCCACGTATCTAGAAAAGGGGAAATTCAACTTTTGTCCATCCAAATTATATTTTTTATTTTCATATTTATAGAATCAAATGAGTTAAGTGAATATATGTTTCGCAAACTTGTTATCGAAAACTGTTTTCAAATGTTCTCAATTCAAAATTAGAAACTTTAAAATGCATAATTACATTAAAAAAAAGATAAAAGCTTTGATAAATATATTGTATCGGATTATAAACTCATTTCATTTTTTAAACTAAAAAATGTAAAATATAATATATTACAAAATAATAAATATAAAAAATTTATAACAGGTAGGTTGATAAATCAATTAATATTATTTTAGATTTAACTAAATATTTAATTGATAACTATACTAATTTACAAATATAACAATTTTTTAAACTAACATTCTATTTTCAAATCTACTACGTATGATCTTGTTTTTGTTGAATCAAAATTTTTTTTTTCAAATTCACGTTAACTTTTCACTCTTTCTAATTAGCTTTAAGTTTTGGTCTATAAATATTTAGGGTCGTATTTAAAAGATTTTCAAATAAGTCTGCCAACTTTGAAAATTATATCTATATATAAATTAAAAAAATTAATAGGTCTCGAAACTTTCAAATTTGTATATTAAAGTTACACGTAAACTACTATTAGTTTGATCATTAATGCTACTTGCCTCTTTCATTTCTCTCTTTATCTCTCTCTTTCTATGTTGTCGTCTTATCTCTTCATCCCTCTCTTTGTCATGCATCTAATTGTACAATTTTCGATCTTATCGTCTCAACCAAATGAAATAAATTATCCACTCCCATTTCAGTAAATGTAACACAAATCAATATACCCAAAAAGTATCTAATATTATCTTAAACTTTTAAAGTTATGTCGAATAAGTTAACCAACTTTGAAAAGATGTTTAATAGATCATTGAACTTTCACTTTTGGTATCAATATATCGTTAGTCTATTAGACTTTTTTTTTTTTGAGTGAGAGACCTATTTTGTTAATTGGTCTTCTACCTTTCAATTCCGATTCAAAAATTGCAAGATTAAAAACCTACTAAATATTTTTTTTGAAGTATAGAGACTCTACATTTTAGAGACCTACGAAACATAACTCTAAAAAGTTTTGAGATAAACTTATAATTAACCAATAAATAAAATAACTTTTTGAATATAAATTTGACATTTTAACTCTAGATCATATCCCAGCCTAACCTGTCTAATTCAAAATCAAACCAGTTGGTTGGATGTTCTTTTTCACAATGGCTTTTTTTTTTATATAATAAATGATCCTTAAAGTTTTAAATATAGATGTCAGAACTGTCAATTTAAAAAAAACATTAATAGAAATATAGATACAATATGATGAATGTTTTAGAAGAAAATTGTTTAAAAGAATTTATAACAAATATTTAAGTTAACCAATATATATTTTACCTTTTCTAATTAAGTTAAAAATTATTAGTATTAATATTATGCTCATAGTGATATTCTATCAATATATTATTTTTTAATATTTAGTAGTTTTTTTACGATATTATGGAAATGTCGATTATCACTTGTGTCGATATTGAATTCACGGACACATAAAAATTTAGATAGGGATGAAAATATCGACGTGTTGACAAAAATTTAATACCACAACAGCAACAATTGATTTGCTCTCTTTTGTTCGACAATTATTGTGTACTCTTGTAGTAGGGTGGTAGTTGAAAAATTTACGTTTGTATTAATATTTTGGTTGTTGTGTCGAGAGGGATTTACCAAAATAACATAAAATAGAAATTTTAACATTTTATAAACTTCCCTTGTCTAAATCAAAATCAAACTCAAATGCAACGTAAAACATATTTAAAAAAAAAAGAAGTTAAATTTGTGTTATATTCGAGAACATGTGAAAAACTATAAAGTTTTTAAAAATCTAAGAACACATTAAAGTAGAGCAGTTTCATTATAAGTTATAATTGAACTATTTTTGGATTAATCCTCAAATTTCCTAAAATGCAAGAAACCCAGAATATTTGAAAAATCAAAGACATATACAATTATTGCATATGGCAAAAAGAAATATAAAATCAAACTTCTGGTTTCTTATTTTCCTCTTGGAGCTTAATCTGCCCCATCATCTTAGCAGCCAATGGAAGGCCACCACATTTCTTCAACAGCTCCACTTTCAGTTCCTTGAGATTTGAAGGATTATTAATGGAATTACCTCCATTGTTCTCGACTTGTTGCCTGAAAATTTCCCAGAAACTTTCTGGGTCTTTCTGCGCAACCAAACAGCGAAGATTTTGGTCCCCCACCATCAATTTTGCCGCTCTCTCGCTCCTGCTCGTCACGATCACAGCCCCTCCACCCCCTTTCGGAAACCCATCTCTCAATTTCTCTCCAATTTTCTCGGAAGAATGATTCAAATCCGAATACCATTCTTGTTCTTCTTGAGTTTGCTGTTCTTTTGCGTCGTCCAGCACAATCAGATACGATTTCCCTCTGAGTTGGAGGCGGAGAGCGTAGAGGAGGCGGCCCAGTGTTTGGGCGGCGAGAAAATTTTTTTCCACTCCGAGAGAAATGAGGATTCTCTTAACCAGAGCGATTTTGGGATCTGGGTCGTCTCCGGTGGAATTTGTCGACATTGAAACCCAAATCCTCGGGAGGAATTTTGATTTCACTTCTGGGTTTTGTAGAAAGGCTTGACAAATCGTCGATTTCCCGATTCCTCCGACTCCGACGATTCCGATGGCCCTGAAGCCGTCGCCGTCGCCGCCGCCGCCGTGTCTTTTCCCAAGCATTTTCTGCAGAACCATGAGCTCGTTTTCGACGCCGTGCACGGCGGATCCGTCGACGGTTTCTGAAACCCAAGTGGAGATTATGGTTTTGGGTTCCGCGGCGGCGGGTTGGATCTCAGAATTCTGCAGGTCGCCGTTCATGGCGGATGCGGGTGTGGGAGTGGAAATGGGAGAAGTTTTTAGTTTTCAGAAGCAGTGCAGTTGTCACTTGGAGTTGGAACCACTTTTTAAATTTACATTAATTGACGATCTCTAGACCCAAAAATTAACTTTTGTGAATTTTCGTATTTTTTATTATAAAATATTATCAAAGTTCAAAATTTCTTTTTTCGTTTTTAATATTATACAACTTAAAATTCCTTATTATTTTGAAATTCTATTTGATTGGAAAATATTAATTGAGAGGAAGTTTGATTTTTTAGAATTTTGTTATAAGAAAATATAATTTAACTTCTATCAAAAGAATGTTTATACTATTGATTATAAGTTAAACATTTTTACATTAATCAAAATTATAAAATTTATTTTAGCAAAAGTATTATGTTTAAATCAACTACGAAATTTAAGTCGGTCATGTATCTTTAAAATTAATTATGATGATTTATTTCAACATAGGAAATTAAAAATAAATTTGAAACTTACGTGCGTCCATCGACTAATATCACATGACAACCGCTCAATCCTACTACATTTGATTGTCGAATAAATACGTAGGATATTAAATCCTAGCTTGGTATAGGTGGTTCATATATATGGAGTTTGAACTTATTATCTCTAAATTTATTTTAAATTTACGAAAGTGATTATAGCTCAACAGTATATTGACATATATTTCCAATCAATAAATTGTGAGTTTGATCTTCCATCGCACATGTGGTATTAAAAAAATTCATTTTGAATTTCTTTGGTCCTTTTCGACCAATCCGCCAAACCCCAGATGGTTAACTAATATAAAGTATATCATTGCTATTTCTAATCTAAAAATATATCACTAAATACACCCTCTTTGTATTAGTATATCACACCATTGGTAAGATACATGTTACATTTTTGGACTTTGATTTTGCATAACATTTTTTACCATGTATCATTTATATGTTCTTACATTTTATTTACCACGAGAAGATTACAACTAACTAGACTTATTATTACTAAATGTTACCCATGAAATATTTACTTAACGCGAGTAAATTTCCACAAACCAAAAGCATGAGAAATGAATCAAAACTAAAACATCTCAATATGCTATTTAGATTACACATCTCAAAATTAAACAACTATCCAGCAATTTGGAAATGACACGAAAACAAATATATTTAGGTCCCTTCCACCTTTCACATAGCGTTTGTAGAAAGTTGAGGTGATAATTAAACAAACAAATAATCAAAAAGGAAGAGAAAATATGAGGAATAATAGAAGAAGTCAATGGAAGTTGAAATTGGAATTATAGGACAACCCAACTTGCCAATTGGAAGGAATGACATTCCACAGAGTAATGGTCTCTTTAGTTGTGAATGAAGTGATCTTGAAAGAAAGGCATTGGCCACCCAAAGAGGCAAAAGCTTGATACGAAGCTCCCCAGTTATGGCTCATGTTTATCCATCCCGTTTTGCTTCCTTTCACAGCCATTGAATACACATCGCCCCCTCCTCCCACGTTCATCACGTACACCAATAGCCAGTACCCGTTTCCTTGCAGGCTGAACCGAACTCCTCCTTTTCTCACACACGGCACCCTGCAAGAAACGGGAAATAAGAAACGGAAACGTTACCAAACGGGTCTTTAGAATGTTTTTTTCCATGCTGTGATGGTAATGTTTGTGTACCTGCGGTATTGGACGGGGACAATCCCAGCTTTCCACTCGGCGATCTTCATGAAGGCGGGCTTGGCCATGTCGAAGTGAACCCTTGGTGGGTTGCACCAGCCGCCCGCGTTGGAGTCCTGCGACCAGTTCGGCGGGCAGAGGTTGGTGGCTGTCACAGTGGTGAACGCGAAGTTTGCGTAGCACGCCTTCGACTGCACGCATTTGATCTGAAAGCAAGTCCCGCAAGCGTAGCCATTGTTGAAAAGTGTAGAGCTCAACGCGGCTGTGTCTGTTCCGTAGCCATTCACAAACAAATTTCCATATCCACAAGCCCCACCTGCCAAAAACCAAAAGAAAAAGTTTCATCTTTAGCGTGTTGAAGAAGTTGCTTTGAAAATCAATTTTGACCTATTTTCAATCCAAATTCTAAAAAACATTTACGGTCGGAAGTAGTTTCAAATCGGTAACAATTTAGTTGTACTCTAAAGAATCTCGTTAAAATTAAGTATTGAATTTTATTATGTAACTTTGTGATTTATAAGCTCACTCATCATTTTATTGACCTACATGATGACTTACATATATAACAAATTTCATTCAAAATCTTAGCAACATTTTTCATTATAGGAATTAAATCGTTACTAATTTTAAACTAAAAATACTAATTAAATTGTTATATACTAAAGTTTATAAGAGATTAAATTATTACAAGTTTGAGAATATATGGACTAAATTGTCACAAACTAAAGTTAAGGATTATATCGTTACTTCAATAAAAGTACGTGGATTAAAAATGAGTTTTAACCTCTAAAATATCTATTTTAGTTTTGTATTTAAAAAAAGAGAGACCAAACTTTATCATTTAGATTACAAGTAGACATATTACCAAGTTTTATTGGTATCAAACTACTTTTGTTTGCCGATTCGGTACCTATTACTAGATCCACCACTAAATCTTTTAACTTTACCACTAAAATATTATAAATATATATTTTGAAAGTGCACGAATCAAAATAAATAAAAATGGTAAAAATGTCAAAAATCAAAATAAGAATTTAACCCAATCATTCATTCCATACCCATGGTCTCGGAGGCAGTTTCATCGCCATAGAAGGTGGCGTGAGCGAGCTTCCACGGGCTTGGCTGGAACACGGCCACCGCTGATCCGCTAACGACCGCGAAAATGAATGCAACCAGCAAGAAGTTGAAGAGCCATGAGCCTGAGAAAGAAGCCATTATTTGAAAATCTCAGGCCAATTTAGTTGTGTACTGCCGATTCTTCTTCTTCTTCTTCTTGGCCATTGACTTGGAGATCTTAGGGCTTATAAATACTCCAAATAACAACCCAAGGAAACTGCTCCTTCGTGACCCTCACGAACATCGATCGTGTACTTGATAAATTAGCCAAAAAAAAAAAGTATATTTTTATTATTGGTATGTTTGGTACAGAATTTAGAAGAATTTGTGGGTGTTTCTAACTTTATATACTATTATTTATGGTATAAATATAAATAAATTGGAAGATTGAGAGACGTGGAAGATTGGGAGTGGAGAATGAATTGTGAGACAGAGAAATTGAAGTATTTTATTATATTGGTGAATAATAGACTCAAATTTTGGGTTCAAACGTGCTTGCAGGTTTCACCTGTAAAATGTAACCTAGTTTGCAAAGAAAACTTGAATTGTTTATTGAATTAACAAAAGGTTACATATATAGCAATGGGTTGACTATGACCTATAAGGAAACCCCATTGATATAGTCTGGAGTAAATAGAATGTAATCTGTTACAAAAGGGAATGATTATATCAATAAATACAAATTGATTGCATAAATATACAGCTATACAAATCTCCAACAATCACTCTTTATCATGCCCCCGCAAGCGTAAGGGACCTGGAAGGACGCTTAGCTTGGATCGATGAATTGTAAATGGACATTTGGCTAGTGGTTTGGTGAGTGAGTCGGCAAGTTGATCGCTTGTGTGGACATGAGAAATTCGAAGGGTCTTTCGAGCAACTTGATCACGAACAAAGTGAAAATCAATAGCCACGTGTTTCATACGTGAGTGGAACACAGGATTGGAGCAGACATAAGTGGCACTAATGTTGTCGCAGTAGATGGAAGGTATGAATGAGGAAGTTATATGAAGTTCCTGTAAAAGATGAGTGATCCAATTTACTTCGGCCGTGGCTGTGGCAATAGCACGGTATTCCGCTTCTGTAGATGAACGAGCAATGGTTGATTGTTTCCTTGAGCTCCAGCTAATTGGATTTGAGCCAAGAAACACAACGTAAGCAGAGGTTGAGTGACGAGTGTTGGCGTTCCCAGCCCAATCAGCATCAGCAAATGCATGTAGAAGTAAAGGAGATCTAGCAGAGAGAAAGACACCATAATTTGAGGTACCTTTCAGATAGCGAAGCACTCGTTTAACTGCAGACCAATGGTTGGTGGTGGGCTTATGCATAAACTGTGCCAGTTTATTGATGGCAAAGCAAATGTCTGGACGTGTGAGCGTAAGATATTGAAGAGATCCAAGGACTTGACGATATTCGGTGGCATCATGACTAGAGGATCCATCATTGAGTTTAAGGGTCACAGAGGTAGATAAAGGAGTGCTAACTTCTTTAGCTGCTGCCATATTAGTACGCTGAAGGAGATCAGAGATATATTTCTTTTGAGATAAAAACAAACCTGCAGAGGTTCTATGTGTTTCAATCCCTAAGAAGTATGAGAGATTTCCTAGATCCTTGAGAGAGAACCGAGCGGAGAGCTTTGAAGTGAAAGAGCTCATTGTTGTTGAATCATTGCCTGTGAGAATGATATCATCTACATACACAAGAAGATACATGACAGAGTTCCCAGTAGTATATATAAATAAGGAAGTATCACTCCTTGAGTTGAGAAATCCATAATCAATGAGAAAAGACTGAAGTTCGTTGTACCATGCCCTAGGTGCTTGACGAAGTCCATAAATAGCTTTATTGAGCTTGCATACGTAAGAGGAATTTTTTAAATCAATAAATCCTTGAGATTGTTGCATGAATACACAGTCAGATAACGTACCCTGTAAGAAGGCATTGTTGACATCTAGCTGCTTTAGACTCCAACCACGGGCAACAGCAATTGTCAAAATGATGCGAATGGTCGCTGGTTTGACAACCGGGCTAAAGGTCTCATGAAAATCAATGCCAGGTCGCTGATGAAATCCTTTAGCTACAAGACGGGCTTTGTAACGAGCAATAGATCCATCTGGATTCCGTTTAATCCTGTAAACCCATTTACAACCAATAATATTTTGTGTGGGGGAGGGTGGTACAAGGGACCAAGTATTATTTTGTTGAAGGGCAAGAAATTCGGCTTTCATGGCATCACGCCAATGAGAGGATTTATTGGCTTGAGTAAAGGACGTAGGTTCGGTGTCGGTAAAGTCGGTGGGTATGGTGGTATATAAGGAGAAAGGTTTCTTTGGTTTAAAGATATTATTTTGGGCTCGAGTCAACATACGATGTGGTGGGTCTGAAGGGAAAGGTATGGTAGTTGTGGGTAGTGAAGCAGAGGGAGAAGTATCGCAATTAGTGGATTGAGACACAAGAGGGTTGGTTGCTTGAAGACTGGTGTCTTCTATTTGGTGAGTTGATGGTGTTGTAACAATAGTATTTGGATGGGCGTTAGATGATGAGAGAATTGTATCAGAAATAGGTAAGGGGGGTATATTTGGATCGGGTTCATGGTGGTGAGAGGATGGTGATGCGGTGGCAGTGGTTTGGGATGGTGCCATAATGTTGTTAGGGCGAAAAAGAAAAGGGGGAGAAAATGATCTACATACCTGTGTAGAAGAGACTCGAGATGCCGCCTTAGGTGAGACCGGTGTAGATATTTCCGAATGAGTAGTAGATCTCTTGGAAAAAGATGAGAGAAAATTAGGAAAAGTATCGCTTGAAAGTAAAAAATCAGTATGGTGTAAAGTTTTGTAGGGAAAGATCTCTTCAAAGAAAAGCACATGGCGAGAGACAAAAACTCGATTTGACTTAATTGATGGATCTTTATTTCAAATAATTCAAACATGATTTTTGTTAATTGATGGATCAATCTTAATAAGCTTAAACCAAGGATAAAATCCTAACTCATTAATTATATTAGCGAGCATGGTATTAGAAAAAGAAAAAAATCCATAAAGTAAGCCAAAAACGTTATATTTTTTCTTAATATATCGGGACATACGTAAAAAAGAAGTTAGTCACTTTGTGAACTAGAAAGCATGTGTCTATATTTAGTCGCATAACATCCATTCAACAATGAAAATGAAGAAACTTGATTAGTTAGGAAGTTAATTTGAGTATAGTCGGTAGAAAAGATATCTATGAAAGTTGTTGGATCTTCCACCCCTATATTGATCGACTAAAAAAGAAAAAGGAAAAATTGGAGTTAGTTTGAAAATATTCTAGTTTCTCATTTTTTTTATATTTTATTTTCAATTTTTGAGAAATATGTATGATAATGGTTCATTTTTCTTGTTTCTGACTTAAAAAACAACACAATAAAGTTTTTTTTTTTGTTTCTTGTTCTTATTTCTAATTTTTTCGTAGCATAGAAAAATATTATTTTATTAATTTTTGTCTTATAAAATACATGATAAATATATTATAAAAAATTTTAATATTTAATCTGAAAAGTTAATTTTTATATAAATTTTAATTCTTTTAATTTAAAATTTCAGAGAAAAAAGGATAACCAAAATTTTGAATGTTTATCTTTTTAATAAAAAAAGAAAGATTAAAAAACAAAAATCAGTTAATAAACACCCTTCCACTTTTCTTGATTGAAAAGGAGGAAAAGAAAAATAAAAAACAAAAAACGAGAGGCAAAAAAATAAATTATCAAATGGCCTTCAGAAGCGATAGTTACTTGAAACTTTAAAATTTTAACAATGTATAAAATTAATTGAATGTCAGCGAATTTTTTTTTCTTTTTTTGAAATAAAATGTCAGCGAAATTAGAGTAAAATCCAGGCCGAAATAATGAAAGTAAATAGAATCAGTTAAATGGTTCACAAAAAAAGTAAATTATACTTTTAAATTTTTAATTTGGATGGAGGATATCAATTTCGCAATTTCTTAATTCAATAATTACTAAGATCCAAAAGAACTACCGACCTTGAAAATGATAATAGGTATTTTATATATTTAGTTATGTCCAAATTTACTTCTTAAAATTTAGTTTATATCATTAATTTTTCATTCTCTATAATCTATATTATATTAAAAAGGTAGGAGGTAGGAAAAACATTTTTGGACACGTTTGCCCTTTACTAAATATTATTACAAATATTAAATTAATTATTAATTATTAATTATCCATACTATAAATGCATGGAATATAAAAGGTTAGAATGCAAAAAGTTTTCCAACAACATAAAATTAATTTTTTCTTTAATTAAAATTCATACTAGAATTTCAAGAGTTTTAGAATTTGAAAGGCTTTTGTAACTTTTTATCCTCTACTACTATAAAAATAGGCTTTCTTCTACATGTTTTTCACAAGTTTCAATACTTTTTTATTCTTAGTTACTTCAAAGATCTCTGAAAGATGATTCAATCATGAAAACATCCCAAGATATTTGTGACATATTCATCAAGTTGCAAGGGAGGCATATGTTGAATGTACATATCTCGAATACTAGGTTTGTGACATTACCATTCCACAATTTTACAAAGTTGAATAATAGTATATGTCAAACAATCTTTAAGAATGAACATATTTACTCTAAAAGATGAGTGTATAGTAAGTATTTGGATTTTTTTTTTGTTACTATTGTTATTTTTCTAATTAGTGTGTTTTTTATTTGGAATGTTTCTTTTTTTTTAGCAATTTTATTTAGTTTAGGATTTGGATTTTTCTGTTTGTTACTAATGTCTTTTTATTGTTCAATGTACTTTTTTTATTTGGAATGTTTCTTTTTTGAGCAATTTTATTTAGAATATTTGTTTAAAATATAGATAATTACAAGCTCCTGTTCTTATTGTTGAAAAAAAAAACAATTATAGAAGTCAATACATAAAAAAATGTTTATGTATTGCACGTGCATTGCACGTGGTAATACACTAGTAACATAAAGTGGATTGAAGATTATTTTTTAATTAATTTTATAATATGAAATACATTGCATTTTTTCATTGTTTAAATGGAATTTTAAAAAATAAATTTAAAATAAATAATTAATTAAACACGAGAATGCAAAAGGGTGATCAACCATGGGCTTGTAAGGTCCACTGCAA